TCAAATCCGCAGTCCACCATCTAGTGCTGGTACTGCGTTTTCTCTGTCCCAGAGGGCAGTTGTCATGGAAGCAAGTGATCATTGCGTCCTGTAAGTCGGTCGCAATTTGGTCAATGTCTGCAAAGCAGCTGACCCTCCTACTCACGGATCCCAACTGGAACTGTAGGTCAGAGTTATACTGTGACCAGTCTGTTCTCCTGGGATTACGGAAGGAGGATGTGACAGTGTCACTTAGCATGCTGAAGCAGATGTATTTGTGGTCAGATAACGAGGCCTCCTTACTTACGTGCCAGTTTTCTATGACTCTGTGAATGCGTTCCGTACTAACAGTAATGTCTATGACCTCCCGCCTTGTTCTTGTGACAAATGTCGGTTGGTTGCCCACATTACAGATATACAGATTGTTTGAAATTAGATATTGAAGGAGAGACTCACCTCTTGGATTGATGTCCGAGCTTCCCCATCCGTTGGCGTGGTGTGCCAGAGAATAAATTCCCATGTTATTCTTATGGAGAATATTGTCAAATGTTGTAGTTTGCTTGTTTATGGATATATTTTGTATTTTTATCAAATTTATTTATTTTGTACTAAGCTATCAATATTTTACAAAAAAACACACTTTATTAGTTTCCTTGTAGCAGCAAACCTAGGTACTCGTTAAACCTAATGTTATTAAAATATATTTAATTGGAAATCAATTAAGACAAATGGAAATTCGCTTAGTCGGCAGGTTTGCTGCGGCAGAGGTATTTTACAAAACGTATGAAAACTGTATGTAATAATAAAGAAACTAACATAGAGCACTTGATTAGTTTGGGGGCCTTAGCGATGTGGGACAATACCTCCCTGCAGCAAACTATTTTTATTTGCCTAGTTAAATTTTTACAAAAAATATTTCACTAAACATATCTTTGATTTATTCCATTTTAAATTACACAGTGGTGTGTTTAGAGTTGAGATTGCCATGGACATTCCACAGAAGTTTAAGATCTTTCTCTTCGTCACCCCACAGATGTCACCATAGCCTTAGAAAAAATGCATCCAATCGGCATCCAAATAACGTCTTTAAAACGAGAGCATTCTACTTTATTTTTGAATACAACTAGTAAAGCATAACCACTTTTCTTTTATTCCTTTCAATCACAAAGTCACTCAAAACTCACAACATTTCAGCCTGGAAATGCCTGTATACCGGCAGCTAATGTCATATGGCCTTCAGGACCATTTATTATGCAGGATCACACGGGCCCGCACCACACTGGTGTGAAAGAAGGCTAATAGTGACAAACTGTGTTGTCCAGTTGTCAGTTGTCCAACACTTTGTGACACATAAAGGTGACAATCTGTGAGCACATGAACCTAGGTATCTGTTTTATTTTGAGAAAATCCTATGCACAGTTTCTTTTTTTAATTAAAGGTTTTGAGTTGTTACTTGATGACATTTAAATTTTGTTCATTACTCTATTCCACTCTAGAATTTTATTTATATAGTTAAATATAGTTTTAGTTTTGTTAAGTCATTATAGTTATTTGCTTAGGTTAAATGTTGTTTGATGTTTTTATTAGGGATTTTTAAAGGTAAATTAAAAAGTTTGTTTTTAATTTCAGGGTTTCCAAACTCAAGCCCCGAAGAATCTTGATGTCGTACTTATTGGGATTGGTGTTGTGATCGATACTACTATAGTTCATATCAGTGTGTTAAGACACGAATAAATAGAAACTTTGTAATTGAAAATGAGATAAAAAATGTGTTATAATTTTGTTATAAATTTGTTATAAATTGCTATAAATTTGTTAAATCTTATTCTTACAATCTTAAATCTTGTTAACAATCTTGTCTTGTGTTGTTGTTTAATCTTGTTACAATCTTGTTAATCTTAATCTTATTCTGTGTGCACGTTTTACATATTTGATCTTGGTAGTCAGTTGAAACCTTATAATCACAACAGCAGTTGGTTTGCATATTTAGTGTGCATTTTTTTCTAGATATACAGGCAAATCTCTGTATACAGCACTTTTTAGGGTCTTTTCCAGGTTATCAAAACTCAAGTACAATTTGATACACACACATAGAATCTCCGGTTAACCACATGAATGATGCCTAGAAATTTAATTTAATTTACAGTTATCTATTATTGCACTTTCAATAAATTAAATCCGTTATGTAAGGCATAACGTTTTTAATCTTACTTAATTTGAGATTTTCTTACAAAACGTGATCGGAAATGGTTGCCGTATTTTGTAAACACCATTTAGTAAACATATCAGTGACAGCTAGAAAAATATACTTAATCCAAACAGCTGCTCATTATATCATAGAACGAATAAGAAAACTGAACTGACAGTACTGTACTGTTTCTTTCTTGAGTAATCTCAAGTTGTATCAGTCAGTGAATTTTCAAACAGTAAAAATCTTTTAATTAATTCAAATAAATCCAATTTTTTATCATTCAAAACCAAACAGGATAGATTAAAATTACAACCAAACATTCAGCTAGATGGATCAAAAATTATTCAAGTAAACCATACAAAATTCCTTGGATTGATTCTAGACGAGAATTTGAGTTGGGATAAGCATGTTGATCATGTAGTAAATAAAATGTCAACTGGCATACATGCTTTGAGACAAATGTCTCATGTATGCAATATTGATACTCTCAAATCAATCTATTTTGCCCTGATCAACTCGCATATGGCTTACGGTATTGCTATATATGGCGGGACTAGCAATAAAAACCTTAAAAAAATTCTGAAACAGCAAAAGAAAGCATTACGAATTATCTTTAATATAAAAAATAGAAAATCTACAAAACCATATTTTTCAAAATTAGGTATCATGACGGTTTATGACCTATATATTTGAAACCATAATGTAAAAAAATTAAACACACAAAAATACAGTCAAAAATCACATACATACAACCTGAGAAATAAAAGATATGTAGAACCACATAAATTACAGATTTTTGAAAATAAAACAACTTTTATTGGTACTAAATTTCTTTATAATCTGCCTAAGAATATTCTTTGTGAAGAAAAATATAACAGTTTCAAAATCCGCCTTAAAGAATACCTATTGACTCATCCTATCTTTTCAAGTAAAGATTTTTTTAATTTAAGGAATGTAAAATATAAAAAAAACTGTATTAGTGTCATTGTCATACAACAACAAAATACCCCCGCCGCAGCAAACCTGCAGACTAAGCGAATTTCCATTTGACTGATTGGATTTACACTGAAATGTCTACTTAAAAATATAACATTTATTCTTGATTTAAATAGAATTAGTTTAACAAGTACTTAGGTTTGCTGCATCAGGGAGGGTAAAACTTTTTTTTGTAAAATGTGAATAGGTAGTGAGAAATAAAAACATTCTCCAAATTTGATCAAAATATGTTCACAAACAAGCAAACTACAACAGTTTACTTATTCTCCATAAGAATAACATGGGAATTTTAAATTTACAATTTTTTGGAATTTTCTCCGTAACTATTAGGCGCATAATAACGCTTCAATATACTAAATTATTTGTATTTTTAAGCTCTACAAAATGGTTTGGAAAGAAATTGCTAAATTTTATGTTTTTTGGGTCATAAATAGGAAAAACCTATTTTTACCCCATAAAACCCCCCGTAAACCCCCGTTCCCATGGTCCGATCATGCTGGATCGCGAACTCATTCGAATAAACGTAGGTTTACACGTTTGTACCAAATTTCATCCAAATCGGATCATTTTTGCTCGAGTTATCGTGCTGACGGACACATATATATATATAAATATATAAATATATATATATATATATATGAATTTGAACGGATGGTGTTTTTGGCCTCTAGGGACCTCAAAACGAAAAAAAAATCGGTCCCGCGTCCAGGTCTTACCATGAGTACTACGGTAATAGCTTATTCCCTATATGGGAAATTCGCTAAAACTGGTCAAAGACATTTAATCTGTGTTCCCATTCAAATCAAGTGATTTTAGAAGAATAGGACTACATCCAAGAAAATTTAACAAAAACTTTGTTGAAGAATTCATTTATATAAAAAACGAATCACCCGAACAACATCAGACCTATTAATTTGCATTTTTACAGGTAAATATAATTGACGTCATTACATCAACTAACCAAAAGAATGCCATTTGAACCAATAAAATTGTGACAGACAGACTATGCAGGAAATTGGGTAGTATTTAAGTAATTTGAACAATTAAAAAAAATTATTAAAAAGTAAAAAATACTGGCGACAATGGTGGTACCATGTAGGCTACAGTATCAGTGACAAAGATAAACATAAACAACTTTATGCGGCTATGGGTAAGTCGGGAATCATTTTGGAAAACACTAAAAAAAAGGCCAGCTTCTGAAAAATGATAAAATATTTACGAGAAATCTTGATTAAGTTATATTGAACTGTTATGAACAGGGTGAGTTATTTCCATTTGTTGTCCATTAGTAAGTGGAGTCTTTTAAAATCTTTAAAAGTTATTAGTTTTAAAATAACTTCCTGTAATATCGTTACTTTTCAATTGCTCAATTTCGAGCAACAGGTACACTAGTTCGTACTAGTAAAATTAAATTGTTGGGCAGGTCATTCATCAATTGAGTCATAGAAACAAACTACTGTACATTTCTGGGAATTTGAAAATTTAGGAGTGTTCCTCAAGAATTTTATTCCCAGTATAAATTCCTGATTTTTCCTTCATAGTAAACTTTCTGGGAGCTTTACATCACAACTTCTAGGGGGTTATTTTATTTTTCTGTATAATTAATTGTTATGCCAATGTAACTTGATGAGATTTTAAAACCTTTGACATTCCTTATAATGAAGATTATAGATTTTGGTTCCTAATTACTAATCGACATGTAAAGGAGGCACCTTATAGACTTGAAATAGAAAATTCCACTGAAGTTATATCTCTGTATGATTTGGTCAGTTTCAGCAGGATGAGTGAGTGTCATCCAGGATACAGAGGAGATAGGATTAACTGTTATCTAAACATCATTTCACTGCTCTCCCACTCATCATCATGGGACCAACATCGTAAGTATCCACGTATTATTGCACCACATTCTTCCGATAAAAAGATCAATGATTTAGGGCTTGTCCTAAAAAATTTAATATTTTGTTGAAGGCATCTCATACACAAACTATAGTCTATAGGTCGTTGAATCATTCAAAGGGGGATGTTTTAATTTTTTACTTTTTGAATTTACAAAGCCAATATTTCGAGGCCTAATAGTATCCATAGTACACAGTTAAGTTGATTGTGTAAGGTGTAGGTGAGTGTAGCAGAGAATGACCGTTTCGTATAAAAACCGTCATATATGAAGTTTTCTGTTTTAAGTCTATCAAAAACTGTCTTAAAAGAAGCTTTGTAGCCTGATTGGATTGGCCCTGTTACTGATAAAACAAGAAGAACATTTTAGTGTTTCTTTTATAACACAACCAAAGTGTTCCATTCAGTTAAAAGCTTCTCACTACAGCTCTTGTACAAAAAAATGGTTTCTTGTACTTGTTATGGCTCTTGCATTATTGATTGAAACTGCAATGTATTATATGCAATTTCCAGTAAACATAATTAAGGTACAATTTTATACTCATTTGATCAAAATCCTAACAAACAATTATTTAAACAGTCCCTTAGTTTAAAATTTAACAGGTAAAAAAAATTGAAATAGGCAAACTTAACAAACTTAAATTATGAATAACAGTTTATTAAAAAAGGTTAACAATGTATATCACAGGTGTAACAATGAACATGGGACAAAATTTATATCCTTAAATCACAGATGGAAAAATTGTTAAAACCATATCAAAATAGCCCAAGCAAATTGGGAAAAATAGAGGAACAAATCTATGTATTCCCAATTTTTTCAAAAATGTGTCGGGGAGGGTCCCCTAATGAATATATGATAGGTGAGAATAAAATCACCCTGCCCTCTCTGGTGGTGGGAGGTGTAAATGTCCCAATTTGCGGTTTTTTGCTTATACCTTGAAAACGGCGCATCGTAGCTTAAATTGTTCACTGTAAAGGTTAAAGCTCATTAAATTTGCTACAACATTGATCATATACATTATTAGTGTATGACGCATAGTTTCTGAGATATCCGCGCTCAAAAAAAAAAAAAAAAAAAAATGTTAAAAAAATTTCATCTCAAATTTTTTGTTAAAATCTTGTTTGTTTCTCCTTCTCTGTTATTTTTCAGAAATATTGACGGAAAGAAGGTTGTACTAATGTTACCTTAGCCTTTGTTTTTGCAAGAACAAAGGCTCAGTCAACATTAGTTCCATAATTAAATATGAATTTATTTTGTATGTTTTAACTGTTTTAACTTGGATCATCAAAATAAATAGATAACTTTTTTATTTTGTCAAATTGTGATTTACATAACTATTACCAATTTTTTCCTTAAATATACTTATATATATGGCCTAAACAATTATCAGAAACCATACAAATCGTGCAATGATAAAAAATCAAAACTTTGCAACTATTTGTGTAGTTCATGAATTTCTCTTTTAATCTTAAAAACGCTGTAGCTTTATACCTACATATTATCTATTTACATTTTGTATATACTATTGAAGTAAATTTAATTATCTACAACCTTCTTTCCGTCAATATTTCTGAAAAATAACAAGGAAGGAGAAACAAATAAAATTTTACAAAAAATGTTATATGAAAATATTTTTTTGAACTTTATTATTATTATTTTTTTTTTGAGGGCGGATATCTCAGAAACTATGCGTCTTTCACTAATAATGTATATGATCAATGTTGTAGCAAATTTAATAAACTTTAACTTTTACATTGTACAATTTAAGCTAAGACACGCCGTTTTCAAGTTATAAGCAAAAAACCGCAAATTGGGGCATTTACACCTCCCACCACCAGAGAGCGGCAGGGTGATTTTACTCTCACCTATCATATATTCATTAGGGGACCCTCCCTGACACATTTTTAAAAAAATTGGGAATACATATATTTGTTCCTCTATTTTTCCTTATTTGGACTTATTTGCTTGAACTAACAGTGAACATGAAGATGAAATGTATGCAAATTAATAGTATTGCAAAATCTTACAATCCTTAATTTCTTATCAATAATCAATGATTTCAGGATTGGTTGGTTATCAGTGAGAGGAATAATCAGTATTTTTCTCTATTTTCTACTCACAAAAGATGCATCTGGGGAAACCAATGGCATTTGTACTAGGACTGAAGTGTAAGTAAAGTTACGATGTAAACATAAATCTTGACAATATAAATAGGTTACATACCTTACGTCGTCAATCCTAAAAGCGAAACTTTTTAAAAAAAGGTGTGTTTAGAGTTAAGATTGCCATGGACATTCCACAGAAGTTTAAGATCTTTCTCTTCGTCACCCCACAGATGTCACCATAGCCTTAGAAAAAATGCATCCAATCGGCATCCAAATAACGTCTTTAAAACGAGAGCATTCTACTTTATTTTTGAATACAACTAGTAAAGCATAACCACTTTTCTTTTATTCCTTTCAATCACAAAGTCACTCAAAACTCACAACATTTCAGCCTGGAAATGCCTGTATACCGGCAGCTAATGTCATATGGCCTTCAGGACCATTTATTATGCAGGATCACACGGGCCCGCACCACACTGGTGTGAAAGAAGGCTAATAGTGACAAACTGTGTTGTCCAGTTGTCAGTTGTCCAACACTTTGTGACACATAAAGGTGACAATCTGTGAGCACATGAACCTAGGTATCTGTTTTATTTTGAGAAAATCCTATGCACAGTTTCTTTTTTTAATTAAAGGTTTTGAGTTGTTACTTGATGACATTTAAATTTTGTTCATTACTCTATTCCACTCTAGAATTTTATTTATATAGTTAAATATAGTTTTAGTTTTGTCAAGTCATTATAGTTATTTGCTTAGGTATAATGTTGTTTGATGTTTTTATTAGTGATTCAAAGGTAAATTAAAAAGTTTGTTTTTAATTTCAGGGTTTCCAAACTCAAGCCCCGAAGAATCTTGAAATCGTACGAAGAAACTTATCGGGATTGGTGTCGTGATCGATACTACTATAGTTCATATCAGTGTGTTAAGACACGAATAAATAGACACTTTGTAATTGAAAATGAGGTAACAAAATGTGTTATAATTTTGTTATAATGTGCTATAAGTTTGTTTAATCTTATTCTTACACTAGCTGTGTACCCGTTCTACAGATGGGATCTTTGGTAGTCAGTTGAAACCTTATAATCACAACAGCAGTTGGTTTGCATATTTAGTGTGCATTTTTTTCTAGATATACAGGCAAATCTCTGTATACAGCACTTTTTTAGGGTCTTTTCCTGGTTATCAAAACTCAAGTACAATTTGATACACACACATAGAATCTCCGGTTAACCACATGAATGATGCCTAGAAATTTAATTTAATTTACAGTTATCCATTATTGCACTTACAATAAATTAAATCAGTTATGTAAGGCATAACGTTTTTAATCTTACTTAATTTGAGATTTTCTTACAAAACGTGATCGGAAATGGTTGCCGTATTTTGTAAACACCATTTAGTAAACATATCAGTGACAGCTAGAAAAACATACTTAATCCAAACAGCTGCTCATTATATCATAGATGTCGTATTCTCCAAACAGATGATTGGTATTTCATAAATGACGTATGTGGTAAACATTAGGAGAAAGCTTGACAAAAATTGGGGGTTTGAACGACCGTTATTTTATTTTGAAAAGTAGTGAGGTCGTATTTTAATGGCTAAAGACACTCTCGCCAATCCAGTGAATACAAAAAGACTATTTTTGAATCCCGATCGATGCTCTTGTTTTTCAGGAGAAGGCTGCGTAAAATGCTTTGTGGGCTGTGACAGACAGACAGACAAAAATTGAGATAAGACTTGTTTCGGCTTCTATAATGTATAAAACGTAAAAATAACCAAAAAAGTTTCTTATTCTGAGCAATGTACAGTCAAAAATCTAATTTTATTTAAATAGACTTATAGGTATGTTACTAATTTTACTAATATTATAAATGTGAAAGTTTGTGTGTTTGTTTGTTTGAAGTTCAATGACGCTTTAACTACTGGTTGGATTGGGCTGAAATTTGGTATGATAATAGCCCATATTCCCGATTAACATATACCAGTAGACATATTCTTATCTCAAAAATCCTTTCGGGCTCCGCCCCAGTGGCTCTGGAGTTTCCCATATGTTAACCTTAAAACCTTATGAGTATTCATTGAGCGAAGCTTTGGTATCAACTTCAATGCAATCTTTATAACACTTAAGCTCAATAACGGCTGAACATATTTTAGCCAAACTTACCGAGGTTGTTTTTTTCAAATGATTGGATGGTTTGGACGTAACCAATTTCAATTTTTGATAATCTATATTATTTTAACTCAAAGTTTTTAAATTTTAACATTGGCCTTATGGGTTGCTAGGATGGTTACAAAATAACGACATAAATGTAAACAAAACAAAGAATCATAGCATATGTTCAAATCAAGCCACGGCCTAAACACAGTACAAAGGAAAAAATCCGGATGATGACAACTGATCAAATAATACAGAAAATGTCTTAGGTTTACATTTTAACCGATTAAAATTAATAGAAAAAACACAAAAATATATGGGAAAGAAATTGTTTAATAAACTGCAACCAAAATATAAAGATTTAATAAACAAAACGTCTTTTAAAAGCAGCCTTGCCTCATTTCTTGTAAACAAAATATATTATAGTATTGACGAATTTTTGAATGATGGTAATTTTTTAAATTAGCAAATATTATGTTTTATAAAATAACCCAAATAATTATTTGTAAGAATCATTGTTCATTTTTTAGTATTTTAGGTACTTATTATGATATATGATTATATTGACAATGTCACCTGTTTTTGTAGCTTATGCTATGTAATCTGTAAAACGTTTATGTGACAATAAAGATATATTTATTTATTTATTTAAGTCGCAATTTGGCAACCACCACTGATCGAATAGACAGTCATAGATAAAACATTCTTTCTTAGTACAGTATTTAACAGATTTGATTTACGTAGCTAAATAAGGTTGAAACGAATAACATTTTATCTTAAACAATTAATTTGTCGGTAAATCACATTTATGGATCCATCTCATAAATGGCAATCTTTAACAGGTCCACAACGTAGGAAGTGGTGAAGGAAGAAGTAAAGGCGATAAATGTGGAGTGTGGAAAACTTTTGTGGCGTGGCAGTTACATAATTGTATCTAAAATACTAAAATACTATGGGAAGGGGGGAAACAAGTCCATGACGTAGGGAGTGGTGAAGGAAGTAGTAAAGGCTAAAGGTGCTGAGTGTGGGAATCGTTTGTGGCAGTTATTATTAATGTATCTGTAATCTTAAAATTCTGTAGGAAGGGAGGAAAACAAGTCCACGACGTAAAAGTGGTGAAGGAAAGTAGTAAAAGCAAAACATGCTGAGTGTGGGAAACCTTTGTGGCAATTAGACTAATGTATCGGCAATCCTAAAATGCTATGGGAAGGGAGGGAAACAGGTCCATGATGTAGGAAGTGGTGAAGGAAGTAGTAAAAGCTAGCAATGCAGAGTGTGGAAAAATTTGTATTTTGTATTATATCTATAAACATTTGTTCATTTATTATGGCTTTATTAAAACCATGAAACATGATTGCTCCGCTCAAATGGCTTTCACTGCTATGAAAGCAAACCTAGTATTTAATACCGCCGCCACAGCAAACCTGCAGACTAAGCGAATTTCCATTTGCCTGATTGGATTTAGACTAAAATGTCTCCTTAAAAATATCAAATTTATTCCCTGTTGAGATGGTCTACAAGCTAATAGCAATATTCTGTGTTAAGTGATAAATCAATTACCTGTCTGCTTTGATACTGCATTGGTTTTAATTAATATTTAACCCAATACACTAGTAAACTTTGGTGAGATGGTCCTGACTTCAACTATTTTCTTGGTTTCAAATTTGTATATCACATTATCTATTCTGTGTATATAGTCAATGTTTGAACCAAGCTGCAACAAAAAGCTGTGATGCACAATGAGAACTTAGGCTACGGGGAATAGAGGACATCCCCCACTCCTCACGGATCAAACTAGATGTTTCAAGTGACCCCATTTTCTACCTGCCAGATTTCTGGATCAGTTTGTATGATAAAGAACTACCCTCTGACCGCGAATCTTGGGACACACGTACTGTGCATTCATCCCACATTAAACGGTTCCAATTGTGAATGTCCAAAATCCGCTGACAAGAAAGGTGAAATTTGTTTCCTGAGGATCTATTGTAGCTTCTTTCCCTTTCAGATTATTTATATTCGCTTCAGAGGTCTTCCGCTTTTCATTCTTAATCTTGTAAATTAACCATGAAAACATTTAACAGTAATACTCGTATATTTCTAAAATAAACTGAATATAACTATTCTTTAAAACGCTTAGTCCAAACTAACCAATTCAGTTATTTTTGTTTACACGTACTGTAAATCAAAATTATGACAGTTAAAATAATCTATATCAGCTGTTTTTGTTAAGTTCAGCTACAAAATGGTAGCCTATTGACGATATCATGGGCACTTTCAAGGGCTGTAGGACGGAAACTGAATTTTCCCAGCCTTGTGACCAACACTAATCGATTTCTCGTGACCAAATATATAGACATTAAAAATCCTCGGACAGAAAAAAAGTTTGCTTGTACATGCGCTTGTTTTAGATTATAGGATACTGATAATAAAATTAAGTGCCAACGGAGATATTTCATTTAAAATATTTGTACAAAAATCAGACTATTCAAACAAAATATAGGATATAAATACACATTATCTATTTCAATTTTATTTGTTTATTTTACCGTTCAATCATTATAGAATCACGCTGTACCATTTGGCTTTATTTGATGTATTTTATATTAATGGTGTGCACATTAATTAGTTTATAGATTTATTAAATCAAGGTATCTTACTGTCATTGGTGTTCACTTTATTCCACGATCCTAGAGGTCCTCCACTTAGCAAGTAATTTACTTTTGAGCAAAATTTTACCTTTGAATTGTAACACTTTTGTTTGCTTAGTTACTCTTTACAATTTTTCTTTAACCTCTACAAATGAGGAAACAATGCGAAACTTTACAATGACAACAAATTTTGTGTGTGTATTAAACTGTAAATTTTGTTGCAGAGTTACACCGAGCTTGAAACAAAACACTTTTGCTGTCCTGGTTATTCTATTGAACAAGAATCACCACTCAGATGTGCCCCAGTTTGTGAATTTACCTGCTTAAACGGAAAATGCACTAGCCCAAATTATTGTGAATGTGATTCTGGTTATAAGAAAAACAACAATACGGAAAATATTTGTGAACCAGTTTGCAGTGAAGAGTGCAGCAACGGTTATTGCAGCAGCCCAGAACATTGTAAATGTGATTTGGGCTATGACCACATCCCAAGTGTATCAACGTCAAAGTTTGTTTGTTCTCCGGTTTGCTCAAATTCATGCATTAACGCAAACTGTGTCGCTCCTGATGTCTGCCTTTGCTTGCCAGGGTTTGCTAAGACTCTTGTAGACCCCTCCAAGTGTCACCCAGTATGTAACCCACCTTGTAAAAATGGAGTGTGCTCAGCCCCTGATGAATGCATTTGTTTTGAAGGGTACTCTCAGAGTGTACCGTGGTATGATTGCAATCCTGTTTGCACAGAATGTGTCAATGGAATATGTAGCGCTCCTGAACAGTGTTCTTGCCTCAATGGATTTCGAAAGGTCGCCAACGTCTGCGAGCCAATATGTTCCAACGGTTGTTCAAACGGAGATTGTATATTGCCAGACACATGCTCTTGTCTTCCAGGTTATGAAAATTCCTCTGACCCATTTTCATGTATCCCCATTTGTTTCCCAGAGTGTGTCAATGGCAACTGCATCAATCCTGACCAATGTGAGTGTTTTCCTGGTTTTGAAGAAAACGATAAAAACGTTTGTCAACCGTATTGCAACAGTTGTGAAAACGGGTTGTGTTCCGAACCTGAAGTTTGCTCATGTTTTTGGGGGTTTGAAAATGAGAATATATCTAGTTGTTCCCGTCAAAACATTAAACAAATTGATTGCACCTTTTCAAATATAATTACAAATTACAAATTTGACAAAAGCTGCTTTACACCAAATACAAGATTTCCAATGAAGATGGCAAACTGTGAGATTCTGCAATACTTGACAGTGTTGTATGAAAACGAGACTGTACTAGAACTGTTTTGTAAAGAGGTTTCAAATATAGAACTAGTGAATAATATTCTTTACCTTTCACTGGAATGTATGCTAGGGCTACAGAACATTGAGGAGACTTACACTGAAGAAATCTCGACATCATATGAATCCTCAAGTACGTCATCCACTCTCACCAACTATTCTGACACTGAGTCAACAATTGATTATAGCAGCTGGTCATCTGAGCATACATGGCCTACATCTGAGAGATCAACAGAATTTTCTGATTTGGATTATACAAGTGAAAATATAGAAAGTGAACCCGAATTTCACATAAAATATGACACAATAATGTCTAATGCAACTAAATTTACTGATTTACTGCTTGATGTAAATATAACTTTGAAATTCCTCCCTCTAATTGCAAAATCAAGGATTATGGAACACCAATTTGACAATATCACAGTTTCAGAGAAGGATTGGTGTCTTTGCCACAGAAATGAGGGCAATTGGTAAGTGATTTATAAAGTGCTGTTACATAGTAATAATAGGATATAGTGTCTATAGACTGGTTTGTTTTGTTGTCCAAGATAAATTATTTTCTGAGCTGTAACTTAACCTTGCTGACAAATTTCAATAGTGAACCATGACTGATACTGTAGGTGAACTTTATTCATTTCAACTTTTTAGGTTTCATCAGTCCTACGTTTCCATAAGTTAAAATAACGACATTCATATATTCCTCTTATTGAAAAATACAATTCGTAGAAGGCTTAGTTATTTGACCTAATGGACATAGAATGCAAGAGATTAGTATCTAATCAGATTAGTAAAACAGTACAAAACACCTGCCTCAGTGATCAAAAAGCTGTTTGAATCAAACATACTGGTACCTGGTACCGGTACAGTACTCTTCTAAGTGCTGTATGGGGACGTTGTTTGTCCTACCACCTGCACACATATGTAACTGCTACAAATTTCAGATTTATGCCCACTGTCAATGCTGAATTTGGATGTTTATTTTTCTTATTTGACAACAGCAGAAACTACCAGATCAATTGAGCTTAGCAATTCTTAGAATAGCAAAGAATGTTCCTTGGTTCGTTAGAAACAACCACATACACGAAGAGCTTTAAACAGAGTCTGTCTCGACCTTCATTGAAAAATCCTCCTTCAAATTTCTAAAATCTCTAGACAATGTTCCTGCCACTGGCATTCAATCTTGGCGAAACCACTGAAAGTAGAAGAATGCGCTGAAGGCTTCCCCAAGACTTCTTGTTGGACGAAGCCTAAAGAAAATTGATCATGTGACCTGCATCTAAATTTACTATGTTACTGGGTGTCTCAAGTTTGGTGAAGAGCAGCAAGTGCTGCTGTGAGCCCCTAGTATACTGAAAATTAGTAAGACTTTTGAAGGCGATTTGTGCTTATTTCATTAATCTGACATTTTTGAAATATTATTAGAAACAACTTTGTGTTTATTTCCAACCAACAATACAAAAATTATACAAACTTTTAGGTTCTAACTCTATGGTAGCAGTATCAGGCAGTATTCAAGACTTATGAAATACTTGGGCTAGTAATAAGTAATATTACTGTTCATGCTGTTTTGTAAGGTAAAATCTGTTGAGTGATTTCTAATAATTGTGTATTACAGTATCTAACTTTAACCTAAAATTAATCAACAATTTTGGTTGTAGTTTTGGCATTTTATAATGTTTTATTTCAGGAGCATCTGTGTCTCTTCGCCAGTGCAACTATACATGTGCCCATGTCCACCAACCTTTTCAGGGTTATCAGTAGAAGGTGAAGGTAGGCATTGTTAAGTACAAACAAAAACAAACCAACACATGTATACTTCTCATCTCATTGTAAATCTTGAAACTCGTTTTTATGTGTAAAGTTCATGTCCGGTGACACTATCGCTAGTGTCGACGAAATTTTGTTTCTATTATTTTAGGGTTCATTTTATAAATTTTGCTTTACTGTTTGGCTGTACTGTGTGCCGTTTATATAAATTGGTGACAATTTATGTTTATGATTTGTTTATATTTATGTTATGTTTTATTTGGTCAAACGAGGTTTTAAATAACTGAAGTAACAAGAAACAAATATCTTAACAAAACACAACCTCTACAGAGAGTACCGGACAGAACTAACTATAAAATTGGCTTCAACTGATCCTTAAGGATGAGAAATCTACTTAGGGAGTATGTTTTATCAATAGACAAACCATACTCCCTATTACATATAGTCATAGAAAAAAAGAATTAAATATAGACCGTCAGCCGTGCTGCGTTTACCATAGTTACCATGCATAGATTCTGGCGCACACTAATAATTAGATGATGACTAGTCTGGACACATCACATCAGTTATTGAAACACAATGCTTTATTTACACAAATTAAGGCTTATCATAAGGTAAGGAGTGCATTAGTGCATAGCCACTAATACTGTAATACTGACATATAGTTAAGTTAACATACAAAATACTTATTGTTTGTATTTGTAGATAAAGAAAAAAAGATATTGTTTGTACTTAATATTATAGCATAGACAAAAATAATTAAGTATAGACCGTCAGCCGTGCTGCGGTTAACATGGTTACCATAGATTCTGGCGCACACCACTGGGAGCACCGTGTAGTTTCCGTAGCGTGCACGCCGTATCTACATGCACTCACAGCAGTGTGCTCGCTACGTAACAAAATGACCCTTTTCAATAACAACATTTCAAAGTCCTATAACATTAACAAAAAAAATCGCAGGTGCATGGGACTTGCACTAAGTGATTCAGAATTTAATAAAGAATTCAAATATGTATATAACTCAAAATCGAAAATTCCCGACAAGAGGTCTCTATTCGCTTTCCACATCACATTTATGCTTTTTGTCCGTTTCTAGAGTATGTTTTAAAGCATGTGAAAGAAAACATTATTGTACCCTCAATTATGATACAATTTACATATGCCTAAATTATCTTTTACAGGATCAACATTGATTGGTGTATTGAAAAACTTGATATTGTTGGTGATATTTTTAATGGCAGCCCTAGCAGTGGTCTATATCCTTCATAAAAATAAAGACCAATCTGGATCTTACTCAACCTATGGACCAGAAAGAAAAACAGGTATATGAAAATGTCTCATTTATTAATTTATTTGTCTCCCTGAAATTCATTTATTAAGAGTGTGTTTTACTTCTGAGTTGAAATAGTACAATTTAACTCAGGGGAGGCTCTAGAGGGTAGGCCGGACATACCAGAAATTTTGATAGATATCTCAAAATTATAAATAAATAAAGACCTTTAATTATATGTGTAAATAAAGGGAAAGCATTAAAACTTCTTATTTTGCATTTCAATTTTGAAATCCCCCCTTTTTGCTGGGAAACTCCTCAAAACTCTCGTTCCCCAATCAAACTCACATGCATATGTGCATATGAGAAGGGTCCCATATACTTCACCCCATTGCCGGTTAAACGACACCCGGCACCCGACAGCCGGGTAGATGTGAAACATCCCATGCTACATTAGACCCACAATGCATGTATGAAAAACTTCTGTTTTGGCTGCACTATGACAAAATCTTATATATTTAAAAAAATTAGTTTTTCTTTTCTGAGTATGTTTCGCTTTTCCACCCGTCTAATTTTCATTATTGAGGTCAAGAATTGAAAGTATTCAAGCACAGATTTCACATCAAGTATCAGCATATATTTATCTACAGTCCCACTCGGCTTATACGTAAACAAATTTGCTACACCTGTATTTCTTATGGGAGTTAAATTTGGTCTTTTTTCTGAGTTCGTTTGGCTCTTCAACTCGATTGATTTTCATTATTGAGGTCTCAAATTGAAGGTATGCAGGCACAGATTTCACATCTAGCATCGATCGGCATATATATTTGTCTACAGTCCCACTTGGCTTATACATAAACAAAATTTGCTACACCTGTATTTCTTATGGGAGTTAAATTAGGCTTTTCTTTTCCAAGTTCGTTTGGCTCTTCTACCTGACCGATTTTCATGATTGTGGTCTCAAATTGAAGGTATTCACTCACAGATTTCACATCAAGCATCAGCATATATTTATCTACCGCATTACTCGACCAAAAAAAAAAATAAATATGATTAATTTTTTCATTCTTACTTCAGTTTAAGATGTATTTACCACGTTATAATTAATTATAGGTTTTAATTTGAGCTATTGATCGTTTGAATCAGTTAAATAAAATATACTGTATTACTCAATCAAAAATCTTAAATTTGATTATTTCTCTGATATGATATTTATTTTAACACTGCGGGGCTGCATGGGTCCTAATAATATATAATATATAATAATATATAATTGCCTCTAGTAATATATAATTTCATCTCTAGGGCACAAAATGACACTTTTCGACCCGATTTCATGTTTTACGAATAAGGAAGGGAAAATGAGGAAGGTTTGAAAGGACACTTATTGTCCGTGTGATGAAATATTTTTTATGTTAATGCTCATATTGCACCATTATTTAAGCAAACTTAGTTAGAAAATGACAAAACTTTTCATATAAAGATAAAACTCTCATTACAACTTCTAACCAATTTAGGCTAGCTGATACAAGCAGATGTTATATTACATTACAAGTCATTCAATCATTTTGATTATTTTAGTATACATATTTTTTGACTAAAAATGTTTTTTGCTACACAACTGTGAAATGACCTGTTTTCGACATGTTGAACACCTGCGAAAATTCATCATTACATTGTTTATTACGACAATGTTTACTATGCAAAAGTAAATGTCTACTATCTTTTTGAATTTTGCCGACGTACAAACAAAGATTTGTTATTGTTTTGTCATCTGTTTCAAATTTCAACAACAAAATCTGTACAACCCAAGTAAATATTATTAAATTTAAATTGAAAGCAAAACCTAAACAAATTATATGAGTTTTGTAATGTTCCTAACTGTAATAAAGAATTATCCAATGTCTGTTTTAATCGAGAAAGTAATTAGTCTTTGTGGTGTAGGGAAAAGTAACGTTCAAAACACAAGTGAAAGTAGGTCTATACATATTCTCGACCATTTTAAGGTGCTCGATAAATCTCATACCACTTCAAACATGGTCTCAAATATGTAATGACTCACTTTCTACTCTTGTTATGAAATATACTATTTCGTCATATGCATGCGTTTGCGTTGCGGGTCTAAAGTAGCATTTTACAGCCTTGGTAGTAAAAATAAACATACAACAACGCTTCAATATACCTACTAAATTATTTTTGTTTATTTGATGTCAACAAATGTCTTTTTAGATGAAAGTTCCAGCACACCACTGCCAATAGACTTAGTAGTCTTAGATGGAATCCCAGAGGACAACACTCAACGGTTGTGTGAAGAATAATTATCATTATCAAAAGTTGGAGAAGAAGGATTCGGTTTTTTTTCTACTTCACATTTGTCACATGATTGCCTACTGATTAAAGATTGAATTTCATAAAAAAAAATTTCTGTAACACAATTCACATCATTTAAATTTTGTGATATTAGTTGTTCTTGCCTGCGCTTTTGTTTTTAACCCAAATATAAGTGCAGTGGTGGTCCAAGGATTTCATTTCAGGGGGGATGATCGATGATCACCGGGGGGTCATCCCTGAAAAATGTGGAATCTAAAGCCTAAAAACGTATGGGTAGACTTCCGTATCTCTTGGTACAAACAACCGAATGAAAATATTGATTAATTGATTGTTTCATTTGATATATGGTTTAGTTAGTTATGTTAGGTTAACCTTACCTAACTAACCAAACCATATCTATCAATATTTTCATTCGGTTGTTTGTGCCAACAGATACGGTCTATCCAAAAGTATTTTTATACGTATTTGAGCTCTAAAATATGCTCAAGCCAATCCTAAATCTACTATGAGCAATGTTTGCTTGTATGTATGTATGCTTGTTTGCTTTGCTTGCACAAAGATCTCAAGACAAAAACGGTTTCAACAATTTTCTTCAAATGTTGTAAATAGTTTATTTCTGGCCTAAAAACAAGTTAACTGCAGTTAGAAATGCCAACAAAAATCTAATTACGTAGAAAAATGAAACTCAAAGTCACATTTTAATTGAGCAAAGATTATACTGAAAATTACTTGATACATTGTAGTAAAGACTAGCAGTGCGGAGTGTGGGAAGCGATCTGTGGCAGTTGGCTTAATGTATCTAGAATACTAAAATGCTATGGGAAGGAAGAGGAACAGATATGCAACGTAGGAAGTGGTGAAGGAAGTAGTAAAGGCGAGTAGTCCAGAGTGTGGGAACTGTTTATGGCTATTAGATTAAGATATCTTCTATCCTTAAAGCAGTTTTAAGCTGCACCGAAAAGTAAGTGAGTCGGTGGCTCAGTCGGTAGCGTCGCGGATTTCAGGCCCAAGGCAGCGATGTTGTGGGTTCGGATCCTGGGCACTGCCGAAAACATTTTATCAGTACAGATCACCTTTATACTGTACCGGCTCATTCCTTGCTTTGATGTATATGATCCACGCACGGGCAGTTATAGTGTGGACGGGTAAATGCAAGGTTAAAAGAGCCCACCATAACCTCTTTAAAAAAATAATAAAATCCTAAAATGCTATGGGAAGGGAGGAAAACAGGTCCGCAACGAAGTGGTGAAGGAAGTAGTCAAGACGAGCTGTCCTGAGTTTGGGAATAGTTTATGGCGATTAGATTAAGGTATCTCCTAAAATGCTATGGGAAGGGAGGGAAACAGGTCCGCGACGTAGGAAGTGGTGAGGGAAGTAGTAAATGCGAGCAGTCCGGAGTGTGGGAACTGTTTATGATGATTAGATTAAGGTATCTGCAATCCTACAGTGGTAGCAAAACGGGAGTGCCTATGGAGACCAGGTCAAGTCCCTTTAAATGCACGCACCCCCACAGGTCTCCATCGGCACTCCCATTTTGCTACCACTATAAAATGCTATGGGAAGGGAGGAAAACAGGTCTGAAACGTAGGAAGTGGTGAAGGAAGTAGTCAAGGTGAGCTGTCCGGAGTGTGGGAATTGTTTATGAGGATTAGATTGTGGTATCTTTAATCTTAAAATGCTTTGGGAAAGGAGGAAACAGATCGGCAATGTAGGAAGAGGTGAATGAGGTAGTATAAAGGCGAGCAGTGTGGAGTGTGAGAACTGTAAACCGTTTGTAGCAGTTAGATTAATGTATCTGCAACACTGAAATGCTATGTGAAGGGATGGAAACATGTACTTTATTACGTTTCATTGAAATGGCGACCATATACAAAGTATAGGTATATTAAGCCAAGTATGAATGGAGATGAGTGTCCACAACATAGGAAATGGTGAAAGAAGTAGTAAAAGGCTAGCAGTGCAAAGTGTGGGGAATGTTTATGGCAATTAGATTAATGTATCTAAAATACTAAATGCTATGGGTAGTGATGAAAACTGGTTCACAAATCACAACGTAGGAAGTGGCGTAGGAAGTAGTTTAGCATTGCAGAGTGAGGGAACCATCTGTGGCAGTTAGATTAAAGTATTTTCAACCCTAAATTGCTATGAGAAGGGAAGGAAACAGGCCTACAAGTGGTGAGGGAAGTAGTAAAGGCTAACAGTGCAGAGTATTAAAGTATTAAATTATTAAAGTAGTGGGACCGTTTGTGGCAGTTAGATTGATGTATCTGTACTACTTAAATGCTATTAGAAGGGAAGGAAACAGGTCCATGACGTAGGAAATGGTGAAGGAAGTAGTAGGCTAGCAGTGCAGAGTGTATGGAACTCTTTGTCTGTATGGCAATTTCATTAATGTATCTTCAATCCTAAAATGCTATGGGAAGGGAGGGAAATAGGTCCAGACGTATAGGGAGTTGTGAAGGAAGTAGTAAAGGCGAGCAGTGTGTGGAGTGTGGGAATGTAATGTATCTGCAATATTAAGACTGCTTTCAGAGTAAACTATAATGATTTTCCCTGAACAAAGCTTGGTCCTCAGGTACTAGTATTTATGTTAGCTAATAAAATATAAAATAAACGGGGGTTGATATATCCCCCATCCCCCCCCTTGGACCGCCAGCAATGTATAAGTGTAAAGGTGGTGACCCCTGTCTGCACCGAGGCCTTATCCAATCAGACGTAATGCTACGTCTGTCTGGAGTATGCAGAGTCTGTCTGCGGGCGGTGGGGTCACTTTCCATTTGAAACAACGATATAATAAGCGATCTGATAAGAAAGCAGTCTGGAGGGTAACTTATAATGTTACAGCACAGATAGGCCAGTCAAATTAGATAAAAATAATACATTTTGAGGAATTAATTCCCAGCAAGCTGGAAATCGTTTTAATACCTTCATTTGGTCCCAAATAAGTGTAATCTGAGTTTGCACCGTCCTATGAGGTGAGCTTACATTATGGCAGCCTAAAATAAACTAAATTTTAGCACTTTTTTCAGTTTTTTCCGAGTAGCTCAAAAACAGTGTGTCGGACGCAAACGACGTGCTTTTAATATCAAAGAGGATTAAATTCTGCGTAAAATGAGTATATAAATATCCAAATTCGGTTAAGTAGTATAGCCAAAATCTTAAGTTTTAAATTTATATTTTTTTTCGTTTCATTGCATTTTACATTTTGTGACTTTCCAGAACCCCATACTATCTTTGAATGAAACACACCCCTGACTATTTCCTTCTTCATACGAAGTAAGAGTGGGGAAAACAGCTGATCAAGTATTCCCAGCTGTTTGTAGTTGTATAGTACAACAATATCATTGCTCAATGGCTGTCATCAGTTACTTTAGCAGTGATGTTGGTTGAGTATACGTAGTTTAAAAATAATTGAGGGCGTTTACCAATATTTGTATTCGTTCAAGAAATTGTTAAACCGTAGTGATCTGTCATCTTTATGATGTTAAGTTGTGTGTTCAACATGTTCAGACATGAACGATACTGAGTATTTAATCTGTTTAATTTTAACCAAAAATTAGTACACCAGACACATATATATATTCAAATCCGGTACAGTAGCATAGCCAATATCTTTGTTAAGAAGTAGATAATTTTTTCATGTGTTTGTAAACCACATTTAGCCCTGGAAAGTCGACACCCCAACATACCACTGACCCCCATAAGGAAAAAATCTATAGAATGAAAGTTGTTGAGAGTATATAACACGTTAAAAAAGCATTTCTAATGAAAATTTCCCTCATTTTGAAAGACTTAGGCAATAATTTTGCATAAACCTTAAAATCGGGTTCCGTGAACTTTCCTCTTATGGCTGCACATCCTCCGTAATTGTGAGGATTTATCTTAAGCTGCGGTCTAAGAGACTGTCCTCACCTGGTTCTGCTCCTACGTTGTTCGGTATGTGGGACACACCCTCATCTTCAAACAGCTGAATTTGAGCATGACTGAACATGACAGCTAAGGCAAATTGTTGAGCATTCCATGTCTACTTTACGGCAGCTGCACTTTCCTGTACACCCTTTTGTACACCTGCATGACACTATATTGAGGATTTAAGTTAAAGCTGAATTCTTTGTGTTTATGGCTGGGAGTAAGCCATGTTCCGTCATCCTCCTACCCCAGTTGAATGGATCCACTGGTCTATCATACCAGATCTGTATTTGATGGTAGACTCGTAGAATGTGTTGGGCAACGTGTTCTTCTCGAGGAGTTTTGTAATCTTCAACTTCACTTGGCGATAGAATGCAGATGGTATTTCACCCACTGATTGCATATAGGAACGGAAGGTACTCTTTGACAGGAGAAGAGAAGTTGAAATGCCTGGGAGAGTAGAACATGTTCTAAGAGGTCCTCTTTCCAGTTTTCCTGAGGTAAAGGTTTGAGGAATTTGGTGCTTTGGTGGTTAATAGGACCAATAGATCTGTGTCCTTTCCATTTATTATAGCTTTCGCAAAGCTCTAAGCCATTTGAATGGCATTGTTGACTATGAGAATATCAGCATCCTCAAGAGCTTGTCTGACTTGAAACCCCTGGTGCACTAATTTCTCACTCAGCATGGAGATAAGCCGTCCTTTGTTGTTGTAGTTAGAGAGAAATTGTTCTTTCGGCATGGTTGCAGTCAACGTTTTAGTGAAAATTACATTTGCCAAGGATTGCTTGCTTATTATTATTATTATTATTCCTTGTTTTTTCACAGAAGTTGAGGCCTCAACATGTAACGGTCTATCACAGATAAAGTACTCATGATCATTCATGTCTGAACATGTTAAACACACTTAATATCATAAAGATAACAGATCACTACGTCATAGCACTTGCTTGAACGAATACAAATATTGGTAAACACCCTCAATTATTTTTAAACAAGTCGTATACACAACCAACATCACTGCCAAAGTAACTTATGACAGCCATTGAGCAATTTATTCATTTATTTATTTATTTACGGTTACACCATTTTTACAGGGTTGACATGCTGATGATACAATTACAATATTGAAAGATTGAGATGATTTACAAAAAGCAATAATGAATGCAAGTGAAATGTTAAATAAACGTGAAAGGAGCATAACTACTTGCCTAATTAAATTTGCTTCCCTTCTGCCTTTTCTCATGCTCTTTTACTTTTTTTTTATTTTGCAGAATTTCTTGAAAGGCAGATAAGGGACTAACATCATGCTAATAGAAAAGACATGGTTGAATAGGAAGCACAACAATAGATAGAAATTTGGCAACAATAACAATCGATAATATACTACAAGAAAACATGCGACTAGATAACAAACAAAGATATACATACATCAATAATACATGCAATAGCAATACACCAGTAAAAGCCGACAATATATATAGCAATGATATTGTTGTACTATTCAACTGCAAACAGCTGGGAGTACTTGATCAGCTGTTCTCCCCACTCTTACTTTGTATGCAGAAGGAAATAGTCACGGGTGTGTTTCATTCAAAGATAGTATGGGGTTCTGGAAAGTCACAAAATGTAAAATGCAATGAAACGAAAAAAATTATATATTTAAAACTTAAGATTTTGGCTATACTACTTAACCGAATTTGGATATTTATATACTCATTTTACGCAGAATTTAATCCTCTTTGATATTAAAAGCACGTCGTTTGCGTCCGACACACTGTTTTTGAGCTACTCGGAAAAAACTGAAAAAAGTGCTAAAATTTAGTTTATTTTAGGCTGCCATAATGCAAGCTCACCTCATAGGATGGTGCAAACTCAGATTACACTTATTTGGTACCAAATGAAGGTATTAAAACGATTTCCAGCTTGCTGAGAATTAATTCCTCAAAAATTCTTATTTGACTGGCCTAAGATGGGTGTACACCGCCTTGAAGGATTAGTGTACAAAGAAGAGAGTATGATTTGTAGCTGTTTCTGACTAATAGACCAGCTGTTTCAATATCCAGGACCATTTATTAAAAGCCCAATGATCAAGAAATTTTGGGTGCAGTTTTGATACCATCATAAAGCTATACAGTAAATAGTTTTCTCGGGATTGAACCGACCTTTTTGAATACTAGGTGAGCACTATAACCACTCAGATACCCAGCTAGTACAATTAAACCACTTTATTCAGGTTAAGTAGAGACTAAAGTCTGCGTTGCTGTATAAACAATTAAATTGAATAAAGAAATTAAAAGTTTATACATAATTGATCGTTGAACTTTATGAATGACTATGGAAACTTACTTCCCAATAAATGAGTGGTTGCTGATGAACCGATTAAGTGACTTTAGTAGAAGTTGTGTGAGCCAGTCACAGATTGCGAGTGTCTAAAACTCTATTTTGTACCTTATTTTTCGTTACTGACATAGTTGGTGGGTCACAACAGTTGCTATAGCTCATAATAAGTCATTCCATCAGTTTGACTTGGTAAAAACCATCATGTAATCGGCAGAAATCAGTAATTTAGATCAGCGCAATCTGTAGGTGGCTCACATCAACTGAAACAAATTTTATTAAAAACCTGGCTACAACTTTGTAATACCATTGACTTCATATTGGCAACACGTCAATAATAATTCGGGAACAGCTGTTTTACCAATTGTGTTTGAAGAATAAGAATAAACAATGCCTTAATGATTGATTATTTGACTTGGCTTCCAGCTGTTTTGTGGCTACATGCATTTTCCTAAATCCTAACCTATAACGAAAAATGATGTAATTTTGATAAAAAAAAGGAGAGGGAATCTTAATCTTACTGTAAAACAAACAATAATATTAGGCTAATAATTCTTCCATTCTCTTATTTTGTTGTTATTTTAATTTTAATTCTGATTTATGATTTATGTCTGTTCCTGTTCTGTTCTTGTTCGAAATATTGTAATCTGATCCGAAACCAATTCCTGGATTGAGTAACTTATTTTACACATTTACTAAGTTTAGGCCTACCTATTTTATTTTGTATTAAGTTATTAATGTGCTATTGTGCAATTGACTGAAGAAAAGACTCTGATGAGATGTGAACATGTGATGTGAATTCAATTGAATTGAATTAATTCCCTCCCTCCCTCAGCAGAGTTTCGAAAACGTTTGCTTTAACTGTCACTGGATGCTAATGTACTGATACATTTCTGATGAATTGCTACTAAGTAACGGTAAGTAACTTCAATTTTTTAATTAAATTTAGGCTACCTTGTTTAAGAGGAACCTTGCTTGTAGCTAGGCCTAACTTAGGCTATTAAATAACTTAGGCATTTTCTTAGAAACTATTACCGTGTAGAACTAGGCCTGTAACTACTGTAGTGGGCAAAGTAGCACTTTACTGCACTTGAGAGGGGTACACTTCCGTATCTGTTGGCACAAACAACCGGATGAGTAATATTGATTAGGCTATTCGATTGTTTCGATATATCGTTCGGTTAGTTAGGTTAGGTTAACCTTACCTAACTAACCAAACGATATATCGAATAATTGTAATTATTAAACCAAATCAGATGTTTTCAAACATCAAAATCTACACATTTCGAAGACCAGCCAACATCAACAGTTCACTAACACTTACTCCTTTAACAATCAAGACAACATAGCGTGTATTTATGACAAGAAGTGGTGGATTGGCAGAATACAAGACAAGAATGAAGACAAAAAGGACGTCCTGGTTCACTTTTTTCATCCACCAGGACCCAAAACATCGTTTAAACTCTTAACAAATGACACTGTTTGGGTTCCAGTTAAAAGAGTTCTACGGAAAACTAACTCCATTAGAGTTATCGACCACATCTGGAAGAAATTTCAATATTTCACAAAAACTGTACAATGAGATTTCAACTTTATTCAACTCTTTGATTAAATATTGAATCAATACTGTATAAGGGAATGTGATCCCTATTACATTTTGTACACTCTGTTTAATGTCTTATAAGAAACGGTTAAACGTTTTTAATCCATACGTTTCTTGAAAAAGTGTCAATAAAACCAAGATGAACATGAAAGTTTATTGTGTAAGTCTCCATTTAATCTAATAAAGTTTTATTTACGTGTGTAGGCCTATATGATTGTAACATAGTAACATACCCTTTCAAAACAAGTAAATATAATTAGCTTAGTCGACTACTTGTTCTAACGCTACTTGTTGTGACGCTATTTTCGCACAACTTTGATGTTGCATATCTTCTAAACTAGTTGAGTCTCAGTGATCAAACTTCTACATCATAATTACAACAACTACAAGTACTTATGACAGAAATTTGATTGATTTTGGTTTGGTCCCTTTTGTGATATAAGATCTTGAAAAATGGCGGAAATCGGATAATCCACCATATTTATAGACCTATAAAGAAAAAAGGATAAGACTGTAATAGCCCAAACTTGAGATTTAGACTACCCTATCTCATATGCCAACTTTAAAATACAAAAAATATTAAAGATGAGTTTAATTACTTTTTCTTATGGAAATATTGCAGGAAAAATGACATTTTCACTGCTGAAATCTGAAAAAAAAACATTTTTAACACTTGCATGTCAATTGTATTGATACAGTTAACATTTTATGAAAGTTTCATAAAAATTATAAATGTTGAGCAACTATGCCTGTATGACTTGAAATGGATTAATTGACCCAGTGCTGCGGTTTGCATAAGTTCTGGCGTCCTTTGCTAGGAGTGCCATTTACCTAGTAACTTAGCGTGTGCGCCTTAACTACACGGCAATCCTAGCGGTGGACGCCAGAACTTATGCTAACCGCAGCTTTTCTGTTGGTCTATATTTTATTCTTTTTGTCTATGATAGTATTAACACCTTAAGTTAACACATTCACTGCTAATGATATGTAATACTTTTATAAATGGCTAAAAAACATAAACATTAACATGATCATGTTAATTGAGTGACAATATATCTTTAATTAAATAAATGTTATACTATAAATTGTGGATTAAAATATATTATGTAATTATATACATCATGTATTATATATCTGCTAATATACTTATGACGCACAAGTGCGTCATTAGCAGTGAACGTGTTAAGGAAGAGAAGAACACAGGGTGGGGGGGTATATTCCATTCTGTAGGTACGAGTACAGTATGCAATATGTACTGGTATCGGGTCATTAGACTTTCAAAAATTAAATGATAAAATAGGGGAATTGGCTGGATTTTAGGATAAAATGGTTTAAATGCGAGTCGGGAGCAAGTTGCTAATAAAAACATTACAGGATGGGTTAAAAGTTAACCATTCAGACATTGTGGGGCTAGCAGTTTTGACAATAAGGTTAATTAATTTACAGTTTGTGCACAATCTGTAGGATTTACAAGTTTCGCAACTATCCTATACTTAACTGTTAACTTACAAAACGGCCTATATTCAAGTCAGACAGTATAGAATTTACAACTCAAAATTTGTGTACCGGTATTAAATTACTTCAAAATCAATAACTAGGCCTAATTAAAATTCATTAAAAACTAAATTCAAAATCTTTAATACCATAGCCTCTGCATACTTTCTGAGGTGATAAGAGCCACCCGAGGACAAGGCACTAGACAAGCATGTTAGGAATTTGTTTGTTTCTTACCTTGCATTATAAAACAGTAGGCTATTCATGTAACAGTCTGTAGAATTCTCAATTTTAGTACGGTACTTGAGATTAAAGGGTTATGGGCTATACCTGGGTCAAATGCAGTTTCAGTTGGTTGTGATTTTATGTAGGCACAATCTGGAAGGTTCATCTGAAGGATCTTCCATAAGTTGGTCAATCTCATAGATGCCCTACCAGGCATGGAAGAGATCTTCGTGTACTCCATGTCACCCTCTGACACACTTTAGAAGGAATGCAAGTACTGGACCCTTCTTCTATAAGAAAGCTTCCTGTGGAGTTCAAAGTTGGATTCTAAAGGTTTTGATAAAGAGCTTTAAAAATATCCAGTGGAAGGAGAGTTTTACACCATCCAGGAAATCCTGTCTGCCAGATTAAGATTTCATTAAGCATGTTATTATTATTTATTTGTTTTCATCTTTTATAGAATACATCAGCTAACTAATTAATTTTTTTTTTAGTCTACTAGACTACTATATGTACTGTCTTTGACAATGAGATGTGCATTGTACTTGTACTTTATTTGTGAATAAAAAATGTCTATCTCTACACCTTTGGTTTCTAATTCCTAAAATTTGATTTTGCAGGAACACTGATCCTGCATTATATTGTGTATGTCTACTATATCCTTTGAATGTATTGTTCCAGAATTTGAACTGAGGATTGTTAATGATCAGTGAAAAATTCTGAGGACTACTGAAGTTACAAATCTACAAAGGCAAGTAAACTATACTTATCTCTTTGTCCTTATTTTTAATTTAAATTATACTTTCAAAGTAATATCGTAGTAGCTTCGTTGGTACATTTGTCAATAGCAAACTCACGAGCAAAAGAAGTCAATCTATATGGGTTAAGTTTATACAAAAAATCATCTTTCTCAACCGCTATGAATGAGTACATGTTATTAATTTCCTCTTATTGGCTTCTGTAGTTCTAGGGGTGGGAATCACTGAATGAAAATAACCGAATCAATTGGTTATTGATGCCAAACAGACTAATTCGGTTATTTTTTCCTGATTCGGTTAAATTAGTCTAACCCAGCAATTCGGTGATTTATAAAAAAAATGAAATTTACTCTTGTAATGTGAAGAATAATTTGTATAACAAGAACAAGAACGATTTAATAATTCACCTAGCAACTAGCAGTTCAAATATTATTGATATCCAACTTACCTACTTGCTACCCGCTACACAACCTAGCTACACTCACTTCCGCCATATCTTTATCCTGCTCTTTGTCTGACATCCTGTTCTCGGTGCTGGTGCTTGTGAAAAATCAACAAGAAAACAAGGTTTATAATAATTATCGCATTTGTACTATATTTTTGCCCCTTCCCCATAAAAAATAATTTTGTAAAATATCACAATCATTTTTGACGATGTGAACGATTATTTGTCATAAAGTAGGTACTATAATTTTTGGTGCCAAGAAAAATAAACTATATAGATTCATACTGTATACATTTAAAAACGTTTGCCACTTGTAATCTGAAGAAAAACGCTAACATCGCTTCGTTGCTGTTTGATCTGGCAACCTTGCAAAGGCATCAGCTATGTAGAGAGGAGGGTCCACTGAGCTAGAGGTACAACTGGAGGTAGTATTTAACGAGAGAATTCAATTGAGTGACTTTGGCCGCCATTTGTACTAGGGGTAGAGTACTTAGTAAACTAGTCCATAGGAATTTGGAAATAGAGGATTAGGGGATTCTGGTTTTGTAATAAAGCCATTAGCCAATGAGCAGGTTGATTATTTTAGTTGGTACCAAAATAAATAAATTTTACAGCTTTTCGACTATCTAGCAGAGATGCAGAGTCAAAAAGTGCTACCTTTGGTAGTATTTCTTGCTCAGTGGTAGACTGGTAGAGCCAAAGCGGTGAGTGGCAGAGACAAAGAGTCAAATTCCGGTTATTTCATCTCCGACTTACGTTTAAATCACGTTTTAAATCATAATTATAAAATATCTTACGTGTACAATAATTTTGCCCAAATACGATCATTTTAGACTGCTTGTACGATCATTTATGCTGGTCAATCTGGCAACACTAAATCACTGACTGAGAGACTGGAGACTGGACTGACCCAATCTTTATTGCACACACAGAGCTATTACACAGTGCGAGTGGATTGTATCACTTCGTATAGCAATAAATCACGTTAGCACAAAACTATAGTAGTTGATTTTAAAATGCAAAGAAAAAGTTTGTAAATTTAATTTTTCTAATGTTTTTTTTTGTTTTTGCCTTTTTGATGTTATACATACATAATTTATAACAAATTGTGAGATTTCTAACCATATAATTGATACATTAAATTAAAATATTACTTTTATAAATGGAGCAGACTAGTCGAAAACAGTTTAAAGAGGTGGGTATTGACTAAATGTTATTCGGTTTATCTACACATCATCAGGTAAAATTAGGGGAACAGAGAATAAAAATAAAAATTGATTTGACGAATTGTTTGACTAAAAATCACTGATTTGTACTTACTATATGACTAAATGCTATTCAGTTTCTCATAAGATAAAAATTAGTTGTGGTTTGGGTCAGTAAATAAATTATTAAAATTGATTCGGTGATTAATTCAACTAAAAACAACCAAATTTAAACATCTTTGCTACCAAGACTGATATTCGAATATACAGGGTGTTTTTTTTAAGTGTGCCACCATTGGAATCTCAGTAACTAATGCTTTTACAGCAAACTTTAAATAGGGAACATTCCCTTGTTTTTAAAGAGGTTCAAAAATAATTAAATAAAATTTTTGTAAATGGCCGCCATTTTCCAATATGGCGGTCAACTTTGAAATTTCTTATGAAACACCCTATATTTTATAATGTTTTCGGATAGAACATGCAATTTAAAAACTTTTTTATTCTTGACATTTTTTCGATAAACCCACTCGTTTAGGAGTTACAGCTTATGGAAAAATGACTTCCGGTGTACATTTTACATCATGTAGCTCCTAAACAAGTAGGTTTATAGCGAAAATGCGAAGAGTAAATAAATCAAATAAGTCTTAAAATTGCATCCACATTCTATAAAGACCATAAAATACACAGTTTTCCACTTTTCAAGTTTGCCACCATTTTGGAAAATGGCCGCCATTTTTGAAATAATAGAATTAATATTTTTAACGAACTTTATGGTCTTTTTGGAATGAGGATGCAATTTTAAGACTTATTTGACTTATTTTTACTCTTCGCATTTTCGCTATAAACCTACTTGTTTAGGAGCTACATGATGTAAAATGTACACCGGAAGTCATTTTTCCATAGGCTGTAACTCCTAAACGAGTGGGTTTATCAAAGAAATGTCAAGAATAAAAAAGTTTTTAAATTGCATGTTCTATCCGAAAACATTATAAAATATAAGGTGTTCCATAAGAAATTTTAAAGTTGACCGCCATATTGGAAAATGACGGCCATTTACAAAAATTGTATTTAATTATTTTTGAACCTCTTTAAAAACAAGGGAATGTTCCCCATTTAAAGTTTGCTGTAAAAACATTAGTTACTGAGATCCCAATGGTGGCACACTTAAAAAAAAACACCCTGAAAAATAGGTTACGTACCTTGTTCCGTCTTCAGTCTTAACTTAGTCTATGGATGACTAGTTTCGGGTACAAAGACCCATTATCAAATCCTTATTTAAAACATCATATTGAATATATCGTAAATGTATTTGTAACTTTTGTTTTTTAAATGTGTAAACTTTATGTGTTGTCGACCTGCATGTATACATTGATGAAGACTTACGTCGGATATTTGACCATATTCAATATGATGTTTTAAATAAGGATTTGATAATGGGTCTTTGTACCCGAAACTAGTCATCCATAGACTAAGTTAAGACTGAAGACGGAGCAAGGTACGTAACCTATTATATAAAAACAACCAATTTGACACTACAAATAACTGACCAATTATTCGGTTATGGAAACCATTCGGTTATCCCATCACTATGTAATTCAATAGTTATCATCGTCATTCATAAACCCAGGTTGCATTTCATCGTCAGGCTACAAACAAGAATGTAACATTATAATTTGTAGAGAACTCATTAAAGTTCTGATAAGTTCATTTAATGTCAAATAAAAAAAAATCATTCATTAAATATTTTGTAAAGTTTTTGTTTTAGCCTTGATGACTAAACTCCCCTCGTGTCAAGTTTATCAATTTTCTTGTAGATACATAGGAAAGACAGAATTTCCTTACTGTTTTGTACACTCACTACAAAATTACTCTACACAGCTCTTCGGTAGGGTTTTATCATTAACTATTGGATAGTCAAAGGGTTTTTAGCTAAAATCTGACTACACAATTGACTTGGTTCAACTTGACGATAAAAATTATATTAAGTAACATGGACTTGTGTGTTCTATTTGCATGTTTGTGAAGTTATGGCTATAACACCAATAGCAAATGACATTCTTTTGTTGGTTTAAATGTTCATGGGGTTCAATGCATCCATGAGGTTTCCTGCTTTTATAAACATAATGTTCTTAACACAATGTATTACTCATGAAGGCCCTAGTTTATAATAATAGTAATTTTTATCAAAATAATTTTTGACTAATTAATTGTTTGTGTCAAGGCATTAATTAAGTAACTTTTTACAGTTTTTGAAAAAAAAGGTTGAATATAAACCATGTTGGCAAAGAAAACTTCAGGAATAAAAGATGTTAATCTGCCTCTTCTAAGATCAGTTTTTCCAAAAAGTCATCTGAACCAAGCCATATTTGGAGCCTTAGAGATTCTTGTATCAGCTATTTATGACGATAGAAAAAGTTACAAAAGCAAAGTTCAAGCGCTTATGTCAGTTTTGGAGTGTTTGTTGGCAGATTGTTTGACAAGAATCTCTCCTGAAGTGACCTCAGTGGTGTGTGAGATACTACTTAAATATACCTTAATGTTGGTACTCCACGGTAACTGGATGAACAATAAAGTGATTGCATCACACTTGCAATTGCTTTTAAACAAACTCAAACTTAGAGCAGAGAAAAAGAAACTTTTTCATGTTGTCAGCAACATAGATTATCTTTTAGAGTTAATGGAAAATGATCCGTGGGGTAGTATTGTTGCAACAATTTTGGAGGGTGGAAGAATGACTGATGAAGAACTTTTGGATTTTGTGAGGAATGAATTAGGATTGTTTTTAAGAGTTCGTGTAGAAGTATTAGTCTATGCTAAGTGTGAGGTCGAAGCGTCGGTTATTGTGAAAAAATGTCTCGATTGTATTTCTAAAGCTAGTAATAGTGAGTGGCTTGGGTCTTCAAATCAGGAAGTTACAGATCTGAAAGATTTATACTTGCTTATCCTTCACATGAAAAAGGACATTGATCAATTTAAAATTGAAATAGAAAAAATGGGATTCTATCAATGTTTGAGATTTGTCAAGCAGTGTCAAAAAGGTGAGCTGCCTGTGGAAAGTGTTTTGAAAAAAACCATCAATAGTGTGGTAACTGTGGCATTCAATGTGATTAGAGAAGATACAAATGAACAATCTATTCGGGAATTGATTCAACTGTGGCTTGATGTTTTTAGAGATGATAATTTATTTGAAAAGGTAGAATATTTAGTGTCCAACACGACATGTCCTAGGTATATTTACTTGGTGGGCGAAGAACTGATAAAAAGAGTATGCCTAGTGCCAAATAAGGGGGAGTTTTGTTTTGGGGTCTTTATCAGGGGACTAACTCTTCATGTGAATGAAATA